CGTACACAAGTTTTTCACAAATACATTAACGTACAAGACACACATTTAAGTGGGTCTTCAAATTAAATAGCGTAAATGTTCAGCCCACGCAACAAGAAAAAAGTAAAAGTGAAAACTTACAAAAATAGGTCAAAGAACTTGCCTCAGATATTCTGAATATTTTCATAAACATACTCCTACTCATTCTGTGCACTGTATGAAACTTGTTCCTAGTATTTTATAGAAACCACTTAACCCATTTTCTTGTCAGTCCTTATCTACTAATGTCATTTTAATGAACTACGAAGTCCATTCAATTCAACAATATGAAGCACAAACTAAATAAAAAAAAATAAATGGGAACGAGTTGCAATAATGGCACTGTTTCCATTTCCGGTTTCAATGTGTTTACTTACTAAAACGGGCTGTACGATTGGTATTGATTCGTAATCAGTGACTGCTCAAATAACACGCTAATACCTTTTGTGGTACTTATTGATGAGAACAGTGGACCAAATTGATGTTTTCAACGGAAAATATATTCAATGACATGTTTTTTAACTTTATTCGTTAGAGTTCATCATTCAACTTTATATAGATTTAAAATTTATTAAAAGAATTGAGTATTTTGTATATTATTATAAAGTAAGTAATTATAAAATGTTTTTAAATGACATATCATTTAAAAGTTATAATAGCGCTGAATTGTTAATATTAGGTATATGATTAAAATAGGATTGAAATAGTTTTCTTATAAGAAATCCAATAGTTATTTACTAATCTTATGCTATGGACTGGCTTTATGGTATTACAAACTTAAAAGAAATTCTCTTACTATTCCAGTGTGACCAGTGACAGTCACACTATTTCATGTATATTTAATACTTTATCCAAATAATCGATTGAATACCCTTATATCTCCTACACTAAAAACTATTTTGCAGTTCCATCCACTTTTGGAAATATGAATTAGTGCTCCTGATATTTTAATTTTGAAACCTAATACGAGTATATCGTCTATATTTCATCTAGACACACCAGATTGTCATCGGTCTGTACTAAGAGCGATGCCAGAAACACTATTCCATGTCAATTTAATGCCTCCTCTAATGAACCATAATCTTCTAAGCAATCAATTGCCTACTTCTAAGTATCTGGGTAAAAACTACTTCGTAGAGGAAAGCAAAATATAACGGTCACAGTTCCATCGACATTTTTTAATTATTAATAACAATATTTGAGCATTAAGCAAATTCCAAAATGAATTTTTTTAAATAAAACGTACATTTTCTCTTTTCGAATTACCATTTAATGCATAAGTCTTTGGGAAATATGATTTATTTTTCCCTAAGTCTTCACTTGGATACTCAATTTAGTGTGTATAAAATTTTGCGTTAAAAGCGGTATCTTGTGCAACGAAGTATTCAAAATACTAAAGTAAGCTTTTGAAGATGATATTCTGTGCATCTGCGCATATGAACAGTGCAAACACTTTAGAGGAAGGTCTAACAGACAATGAAGGTCACACTAGGCCTGGGTGTACAAACATGTTCGTCGGTAAAGATGAACGGGAACAAATTAAATAGCTTATATTTGTCAACAAAAAATAAATCATTAGAGAGATTGTTGAACATATAGAATTGTCAAATGACATTGAAGATGACAATAGTGATAGTAACATTTTGTTAGACGCCGCTACTACCGTATTCTTCAAACTCATATCATACGATTTTTTCATATTACCGAAACTCATAACATACTACAAGTATAATGGATGAGATAAAAGCGATATTATAGAGTGAGCTTACAATTATATTGAAAGGACATTTTACAATGTTCTTCATTTATTATTTTTGAAGTAATAGGCTATAAAAGCACTCCGACCTAAAAGATCTATTGGGCGCCTAAAGTCCCAACTAAGACAATTCTAGACAATTTAAAAATCTTGTAATTGCTGTAGATTTAATTTTACCTATTTGATTTGGGGCTAAGATCCCGCTTTCAAGGTAGTCGAGTCTACGTCTTGTCACCGCTGGGCAGTTGCATAGAACATGTTCTGATGTTTCCTTCTCCTAATGACAGAGTCGACAGGAGTCACTTTCTACCGCACCTATAATCTTCATGTGGTAATTAAGTCTACAGTGTCGTGTAAGAAGTTCAGTGTAGATTTTAATATCGTTTCTGCTAAGGCCAAGGATAGCATCAACTTTGATGTGATCAGTATTAATGAATCTTTTTGACTGTCGCATGCCTGTTTGGGCTCTCCAGTGTTCAAGAATCTTCTTCAAATTGGAAAATACTTTGGTATAATTAGATAATATTACAGACATAACAAAAACATTACATTAAAAATAGAAAGTCTGTAAAGTAGATACTAAGATAAAGATCTTATAGATCATAGTTATTAGAGAATGCTTTTCTAAATATTACTATATTTAAGAGGGAATTAAGTAGTTAAGCTTGATATCTTCACTTTAAGTCTGAATTAGTTTTTAAAATCCCTACTTCAATGAGTGTCTGTATACACTTTGAAAATAATGTACCTATATACTTTTTTATGTACTGGAATCATTTGTCATTGCATGTTTTTTATTTCGCTGAAGACACCTTGAAAAATTAATTTTTGAATACATTAATAGTTTCTGATGCCGACTAAAATCGCTGTCTACGGCCTTTAATTCAAGATATTTAGTATTCAAAGAGCCACTGGTATTTACAAAAAAGATTACAAATGTTTATTTAAATATCTCGTTTGTGATAAAAAAACAGATAATAAATAGTTAGAAATGTCTATTTCTAGATATTTATCAAATTAGGAAAGCATTTTTTTAAAATATACAGATTAACTATAAACTAATCTATCTATCGCGAATAGTAAAATTCAAATCGAAGCTATATATTTTTAAAAAAGAAAATATATTCTAGTTTTTGTATGTTTGTAATAATAATAAATAAATTATTTTAACCATTAATTTTTACACACTTTTATGGACTTCTTTCTTTCGCACAGGTTGTTTATAGTTTTCTAGAGAGTATTTGTTTAGAAGGGGCGAATATTTCTGATACATTTTATATGATTTCTCAACATCACTTTGGGTTACTCCACAGGTTACTGGTGCTAGAGAGTTTAACTAGAACTCGACAAAAGTTTTTATTTTTGCTAGACTTAAGAGATTGTAAATAGATTTAAGAGATTGTATTTGTATTTGCTATTTTGTAAGCAGCAAATAAAGCTGCAAGTAAGTACGAAAAAGTTTCAAAGTTCAGTAATAAATAACACGTGAATAAATAACACAGTGTGTAATTATTTCCCTACAATAGTTATTTTTATATTACAAAATACTAGACTTCCAGTATTGCAACCGTAACAAATGTTCTGTAGCTCTTTGCCCAATAGTAGCAAATATATCCTCTATTAGATATGTTACGGATTAATACAGCGTTTTATTGGAACCCATGTACATTGTCATATTATTGTTGTTATTATTATTAGTTTTTAAAAGATTTTATACTCGTATTATTAACATATTAAAGTATAAACAACTGAAGAATATTTCTTTTTTTTGTGTATTTAATAATATCTTTTAACCTCAATTATCTGTCTACTGGGATATCTACTGGGATAAAATACCTTGATATGTTGGTAGTTCAAGGAACTGTAATTATCATTTGTTACTTTTTATGTAATTGTCATTGCGTATTTATCTGTGCCCCCGTCGTATTATCCCAGAACTTATCTGTGCCAATGTCATGCAAATAAAATTTCAATAAAATTTTTGTTTGCACACGTAACTTGGTGATCGCCTCAACTATTGTTTATTAAGCCACTTATGACTATCAGAAAGCGCATGCTATTGTATCAAGTACCTACGTACCATACACACTTTAATACCATTAATCCTTATATAGGAGTATGTGCATGGATGTCTGTAAAAGGACACAGAAAGCCAAAAGGCAAACGAATTAAGCAATAAAGGCATACATTAAGACTGAAAAGTTTTCGGAAATTCTCATTTAAAATTCGCGCGCTGTATATTTTTCGATATTTTAAGTTTATGTAGTTTGGCAGCACTGTCCTTAATTACTATGCCAAAAATGAGCGCGATCTGTCAGACAGTTCGTTTACGGCAGCTGTTGAAACCAGTTCACCTCAGTAGTGCGTTGCGAAATGTCTTCGACGGTCGTACGACCGTCCTGAAAGGCTTTGTACCACTCATAAACTTGAGTTTTCGATAAAACTGATTCCCCATAAGCCTTTTGTAGCATTCGCAACGATTCTGCACACGAAATTTCGTTCGAAACACAAAATTTGATGCAAACTCTTTGTTCAATATTTTTTTCCATTGTTTTTTTCGCAACGCACTACTGAGGTGAACTGGTTTCAACAGCTGCCGTAAACGAACTGTCTGACAGATCGCGCTCATTTTTGGCATAGTAATTGTCCTTAATTTCTGCCAAACTACATAAACTTAAAATATCGAAAAATATACAGCGCGCGAATTTTAAATGAGAATTTCCGAAAACTTTTCGGTCTTAATGTAAACGCGTAATTATAAGCACAACGATAGCTCACACACGAAGTTCTGCATGGTCAATGGATGAATGGCTAACGTTGTTTATACAAATGAAGAAATGGAGTGCTGGACGGGCAGCAGACAGATAGATTAATAAACAAATAGACGAAAAGCAATTATTTTCCTTTGTGTAGACAATACTTTCATTTGTCATTTTAGTGTGTTGATTGGAATCGGTCGCTAATATATGAGGAGGATATGCTATTGTCCTGTTGGTAGAAAGCCAATAATGGCTGAGTTCTGTTGTATTGAAATCGATTGGTATGCGATGTGTATGGCATGGAAGCGATAAAATATTTATTGCTTAATTGTTCTCTTAATTAAAGTTATTTTTATTGTTTTATGCATTTTCAATTCCAGTTTGTGCTATAAAATTTTGGAGTAAATTTAATATTTATTTTATATTTCTAATTAATTTCTTCTACTTACAATTCGAATATTTTCCAGGCTGCCATTAAAGAAGGTTTCCTACTCAAGCAAACATGGTCATTTCAGAGATGGCGTCGACGTTATTTTCGTTTGAAACGCAATAAATTATACTATGCCAAAGATCCAAAGGTAAGCTAAATGTATCTTTTTAATGTTTATATTAGTCATTATAACTCAATTAACTTATTTATGAGACAAATAATTTACTTATTTAGCTAGCGCGTAGTCATTTGATATGAAAATGTAGAAGCAAACCAAGAAAATATCCTGCACAATATAAACAATTTAATTTATACATTTGTCATAAACAAAACGTTTATATACATTACTTAATTAGCAAAGGCACTGAACAGACAAAGCAATTCTATACTTAATTTAATTTATTATATGAAAAGGCAAAAAATACGCAAAGGTAAAAAAATCAAGGATATTATGTTAGCATAATTAAAGCTACCGAACTTTATTTGTTTGATTATATTTTTTGCTTATTGGGGTTAGAGTGTTAATGCGTAATTTACTAATAATGTGTTTAATATAAATATTAAATTAGAAAATTGTATTTAGTGGGTATTAATATGAATACAATAATGCATTCATTTCATTATTATTTTAAACTTTTCCACACAGTTTATTTGTTCAAATTACATGAGATTGCTTTAAAATAATATAGTCTTCAAATACTTTTCTAGATCTCTGTTTATTGATAAAAATATTAGTCATATAGTTGAATTACTGATAAAAAATGCTTCCACTGTTACTCTGTTATTATCTAGCGCATACGCGACATCGATTTAACATCTTATGGATTTAGTTTCTAAATGATCTTAGTTTATTGCTATGATCGTTGATTGCGAAGTATCTTATGCTTTGTGAACGTTTTAACCGGTTATAACCTTTCTGAGTTAAGGCAATAATACTTTAAGGCCTTCCGATTTAATTTGATTTCCAGAATTACGGTTCAAACGTAGTCTATTAACGTAGCCTGTTATTTTATTGTCTCTAATGGAGAACTCATACCTGGTGTCAGTGCAAGTTTTTTTTCCTCTATTTGTAGCGCTTTTTGTTAGTTTACTGATTTGTATGCCTTCCGCATTTGATATAGTGTGTGGAAACCTATATCTTGCCTGCTATTTGTTTAAAAATTTTTATTGAGGATGATCTTTGACACGATAGGTTTTGAATAAATATTCACAATAGTAACGATAACAGAGTAACACTTGTATTTACTTAACTTCAGTATAATCAAGTTAACATAAGTGATGTATGTATGTTGATCCTTTTTTCAAGTCAGCGCAACTGGGGACTTTTACTATTTGATAGCTGGGGGTACTACATGGTCCCACCCATCTCATTGACTAATTTATGTATTGCCTATAAGCTTTATGATTATTCAGTGATTGGTCTAAGATCTGCGTACCTTCCCGTGCGGAGAGTGATTACTCTATGATTAGATAGTGCTAAGTAGGATAGCCTGTCAGTTTTCGCATATAACTTAAGGGCTCTGTCCCTTATGTATATTTTGATCGGGTCTATTCTAAGGTCTCTTAGCATGTCGTTTGTGCGGATGTACCAAGGCACTTTGAAGAGTCTAACATATGTAATGTGATATAATCAAGTTTCGGGTAAAACTAAACTTTCTCTTAATTGATTTGCATGTCTCCAAGAAAAGTAATGTTCTGGAGACTTGCGTTTTTTGTAAGATATCTTTCAAAGATTGACATGCACCTTTCGTACTTAGTACACGCTTAAAGAAGATATATCTTAATTTCATTATTTGAAAGTGTTAATGCGCTAACAAAATATTTGTGTATTAAGTTATATGAATTTATATATTTACAGAAAATTCAGCATATAGAAATATATTAACTTATCCTTTATATAAAATGTTTTTATTGTCATAAAAGTTGAACAAAAAAAATTTTATTTTGAGATGTATGCTTAAGATACTTTAATTTTCATTTAAAGATAGTATTTATTATCAATTTTTTTTAGCAATTATTTATTATAAATTTCAATATTGTACTAATAATATTAATAAAACACTAAAAAGAGATTTTAAATTTTCAAAAGCGATATCTCATAATCAGATATTCAACACTTAACTCTAAAAAGACAGATTTTATAAAAAACTGTGTAGCATTACTAATGAGATACATTCAATCACATCATCATAATTTATAAATGAATCGAAAATGACACATTCAATTCCATGTATCTGGTAATTGCTTTAGGGCAGGTATGCACAGAGACTTGAAAGTCGAACTGATGATCTTTGCGGCTTCTGCCAACATCAAAAGGAATAATTATTAAATTCTTATTTATTGCGCAGATGTGCAGGTCTAGCATGAAACAATTCTTGAAAAGCCCTTTTTTATTAGAAACGGATATCGCAAGGCTCACAAAACTCTCAAAGAAAATAACTTGATTGAATTGATACAAGTAGCTCTTGAATTAGGCAAAAACATATCATAAAATAAAATACTCTTTAGAAAAACAAATCACTAGAAAGGAGACATAGTATAACAAAACCATTAGGCTAACGTAACGTATCCATACGTGACCAACGCGTCGAAAACCCGTCCAACAACAAAGTATCTTCTTTAGAGACGTTCCTATCGATCGTTAAAGAAGAGTTCGAATTTGTTCAACATAAGAATAACTTAGCTATTACTTTCAGTTTAAGAAAATAATATATTTTTCTAAAAGGAAGAAATATTTGATTTTTAAAATTGTTTGCGAATTAGTTTCATATTTTTTTTTTTCTATTTTAATTTTTTTTTTTGTGATGAGGAAGTGAAATACTTTATGCACCGTCAAACCGACCGTCTTCGGAATGGTGTGCAAGACTCCCTTACATTAATATGTAGTATACGGACTAAAACACACCCTCTTCAGCGAGACTTATTCCCCCTCGGAACCGTTTTCGCATTACTTCAAGGAGGGTCTCTTTTATGTTGGCATTTCAAGCCACGCTCTCTTGATTTTCGATCTGCGTCCAGACCACCACTTTTCACCGCATTTTCTTAGTTTCATATAAACTAACCATTTCACTTTGTTGGTCGGTTTTATTTATGCAAAGCAAATATCTTCCTATTCTTTTTTCAAATGGCAATGTTTCATTAAATTTTCAGAAAAACTTATAATTCCAAATTCACATTAATCAGAATTGGATAGCTTACAAATTCCATAATACTTAAGACAAATGCTATATACAATAGATAGCTAATTGGAAACCTCTTCATAAGTTAAGCAAAAAACAATATTATTAGCGAGATTTCTGACAAGACAAAATGGACGAATTTATCATGTCAAATAATCAGTCTTTGGCTTAATAGACTTTATTAAGAGTTATATTGATGCTTCTAATTATATTCGTACTAATTATCCTGTCCTATATCTGCTGTTTATCTAACGTTTTAAATATTTTACTAAAGGTTTATTCACTCAAAGTGCATTCGGAAAGCACTTGAAAAACTAATAGCTTTTTGGAATGATTTTAGTGCTATTGGAGATTTAAATACAATCAAGCAACTATACTTAACCACTTTATCCTCCCATTTGTGCCCTACTTCCACGAAAAGTATTGAATTCCCAGTAACATCGTTGCTTGCATACACAAGTACGTAAATTGATGGATTGACTCTAAGAGTTAAATGTTGAAATTTACTTTAAGGACAATAAATCATAAGCTTATATTACATGGTACATAGTTACGTATAATACTTTGGATGTAAATTTGTTGTTTTTCGTGCTAAATTTTTGACAGAGACGAATCCATTTATAATAAAATTAATTCGATACGTTGGTTCAAATATTGAAAGGTACGCCATTACATTGGGAAACGTAAAAGTAAGCAATGCTAAATGAAATTACTTTAAAATTTAATAAAGTCCCTTTTAACTACTCAAAAAAAACTTAGAGCAAATGCATTTAACTTTAACTTTTTGTATTTAAAAAGAATTTTTTTTTGGAAAAATTTCACTTGTCTCTTGTAAACTTGACTTTTAAATTTTAATTTGTTTTTAGATAAACACTTAAATTGTGTGTTTTTATTTTATATTTCCAGTGTTGTTCAAAGCACGAAAATAGCATTTAATTTTTCAACTTTACTTTACTTCACTTAAAAGTTATTAGTCGAAGCCAAGTAAGTATTTTAGCTGAAAAGACTAAAATGTCATTGGTCTATACAGCAATAGAGCAACTATGTACTATAGACTAAATATAAACTTCCGTTACGTTACTTGCTATAATAAACTCACTTTATTGTCCAAGTGGTAAGAAGCCACTACGGATACAGAACCAATAACTGAAGTACCAACCCTCAGTAGCAAAACAGTTTCCTTTTGCATTAAACTTTGGTATCGTGCCTCGCAAATGCCTTAGTTGCTGTTGAAACTGTTCTCAGCAAGAAACTAATTGACCTTTTAGGTTTTTAAATTGAAGAAAATAGCGAAGAGGAAATTGTATCCTCACAGAATCGAATTAAAATTACTTTTTGTCAAAAGCAAATCAATACGCAACATTATGGTTCATCTAAGCATCGGGAAAATGGCGGAAATCTACTCTATTGAGACTCTGTAAATTGCTTTATTGCATGTTTTCTACTCCGAAAGTGCCACTTTAAAAATAATCAAATAAATTATAGTGCGAAATAAATAATGTAAAATTAAATGTCCTTTATTTTCGGTTGACGTTTTTTAAAAACTTTGTGTATTTATAATGTTTGCTTTTTATGTTTACTAATGAAATTAATTTGCTTTTATGTCATTTATATAGAACTTTATAAAGAATTAATTGGTTTGGTAAAAGTGATTTTTATTGAATTTTTAAAAGTTAGTTATAATAATACTTACAACCAGAACTGCATTTTAGTTTTAATAAAGGACTACGAAATTTGTTAAATATTATTATAGAACACAACGAATTGCTAAAGGTCTAGGGTCTGTGAGATAATGACACATACAATGCGAACTTCCACAGCCTTAAAATATTTCGTTCCCGTTGTGAGAAATTATAGACAGCTATGCTCATAGAATTATTATAGTTATATATATTATAATTATAAATATTATAATTATATATATTATAATTATATATATTATAATTATATATATTATAGTTATATATAT